CTACTTTCTGTCGCATGCGCGCTTCAACAAGAAGGCAGAGAACGGCCACGGAGTGACACACTTATACTGCTTGACACACCCAACCTTCCTCAGCGAACTAGAAAATTATTAAAATTATTACTCTTTCAATATAGTTTCAACACTTCATTTTGAACTTAACAAGCAACACAAGAAAATGAAAAGTAAAATGATAATAATTAGTATAAATAATATAAAAACAAAATTAGAAAAATTAATCAAGTTTTAACGAAATAATACAACTCCAAAGTATGAATGAGATATTAAAGTCACTACTTTTTTAGAATGTACAGTCCTCATCATTGCGGACCGGTGGGGCGTGTCAGTGCGGCTGCGTTTGGCGCGGTGCCAAAGTCGTTCTGCACCAGTTGTTGAAGCGGGCAAGTGACATTACTGTATTATATCCTTCGTATTACTCGTTTTCTACCACTTTTTGTCGCATACGCGTTTCAAAAAAAGGCTGAGAACGGCTTCAACAGTGTGCACACTCATACTGGCTGACACGCCCCACCGGTCCGCAATGATGAGGACTTAGTTCTTCTCTTGCCAGATTGACCACTATCCAATCACCATTGATAGTGCAAGGCAGCCGAATGCGGCCCGCCGTCCTCACACCGCCCCCGACAAAATGCGATATTATGGACCTTACATATACATAGGTAATCCATACAAACGAGGGGGCGTGCGACTCGGCGCGATTGGAACCGCACTGCTTACTATGCGCGCCGTTCGAAATTCAAACTCAGGACCAGCTCCCGCAAGAGCCATCGTAACTTCCATACTTCCGCGGCTGACAAATTGTTGTCCGGCCTGACCACTGGGTCGTGAAGATCATATCGTACCCAAATGGCTACGCTGCTGAATGGAAATAGAATGCATGGAGTGTCCCAAAAAGGCTGATCAACGGCGTACCACTATTCTTTATGTAGAATGCTGAAACCGGTGTTTTCTCTGCATCGTTTTACCTGAAGATTCCGGCAATGAAAGGCCACGTTTGATTTGGTTCTGACGGAAGCTTCTATACTACCTCCAAAATATTTACGAAACAGGTGGCGCATATTCTCTGGAATAGTGACTTATATGTGACTGCTTTCATAAATATTTAGGAAGTAGCTCCTTTCCATTGCTGTGATCGTTAGGTGAAATATTTTCTTCTTTGCGACTTGCCATGATTCTTGCGACGGGTTTCTCCATCAGCCGGCTTGCCGACATGTGCCTGACGCTGGTCGTTACCAACTTTGCAATTTTTGCAAGGCATGGTTTGTGCCTCGGCAGGGATCGAACTCGTGGCTCGGAGTGTGAACATGAGTTTAACCTCTTAACCATTCGGCTTTCCACCGTGATCGTTATGAAATAATGCAGGGGAAACACCGATTTCAACATTCCGCATAAAGCATTATGATGAAACTTTTGCCATTGATTAATCCGTTTTGGGACACGCCATGCATTCTACTTCCATTCGGTACCGTAGCTCCAATCGAATGCGACATGGCCTATATAGTCACTTTCATGGGTCAATCTATGTAAATGTCAGTGTTTTTACCCTCAGATGGGCCGCACACCGAGATAGAAGGCGCATACTCTCTGGAAAAGAACTTGTATGTGACGATCTCGGGGTCTTCAGCTACGTGGTCCGCTTTTAGCACCGCGAATACAATCTCTAGGAACAACTCAGACTGTGCTGATACTATGGCTTTGGGGCAACCCACACTTTCACAAGCGACACCACACGGATTTCGCAATCCAGATCGATTCTCACGTCATGCATTGCGATGCACTTTAACGCGCGACGACCGCAAGCGACAAGCATGGACCAATCACGCGCGTAGTTGCGAAATCCGCCACGCCCATTATCGATCGTGAGCCGCTGCGCTGCCGGCCAGACACGTCACGACACCCGACGCTATATGGAGGCCACGCCCATTATTGATTGCCACGACCTAAAGTTCCTATAACAAAACGTGACTTCTTAGTGACCCTCTATCATTCATGTGGAAGTGCTCGGCGGGCACCTACGAAGTGGGCGGGCACAGCCGCCAGCAGCCAGCAGGGCGCGAAACTGAGCGTTTGCACGCCGATCAATAGTAGCGGTCGAGCACCATTCTTCGATGGTCGTGTTGTTCCTCTCTCTTCAATCGTCTTTATTTTTGGCTGTGCTTTCTCCTCCCTTTCCTTCCATTGCCATGCTTTTGATTCACAGATACGCTGTTCTTGTTTTGTTCATTTTTTCTTTTTCCTAAAGTTGCTGTCAAGGGATTGTCCTCCACTTCAGGACACTGCATTCATAAATTTTTTAGTTATTGTCCAAACCTTTTCCAAGGAGGTTTTTGGTTCCCCGTGTTTCATTATCCCGAATTTTCTCAGGAGTTGAATGAAGGTTTTTCAAAAAATTTCCTCTTCAGAACCAGAGAGAATGGCGGACAACGGTAGCGAGGCACCTGCTGCAGGAGATGCTGGAGTAGAGTATATCAAACTAAAAGTTGTTGGACAGGTCGGTTAATTGATTTAAAAAACAGTGGAATCCAGCTAAGAGAGGAGTTGAAGGACTAAGGTCAACACAGAAATTGTCCCATTGAGAGGGAGGATTTTTTGAGGGGGGCGAGCTCTGTGACTGAGCCAGTTTCCTCGTTCAAAAAGAAATATTACATTGCGATATCTTTAATTAGCCCAAGAATCCCTTCAAGCGATCTCCTCCCGCAGCTCACTTGCGCCCAAACAGTTTCTGTTGTGGAGAAAACATGTGACCTCGTTTCGTCTTGTTAAAGTTCACATGCTATTTAGGATTCGAATGAGGTCCACTTCCGCGTTAAAAATGGAACTGCCATGGGCAAGTTAAAGAAATCTTATGCTGATCGCACCGGAGTTGCTGTATCTTCATTGCGGTAATTGTTTTCCATTACAATCTGATTTTTTTGTCTCTGTTTTTTTCCTGAATTTGCTTAGAAGAGCAAGTAGGTCATCCCCTTTTATAGGCAGTACTCTTTCTATAGAAGCACTAAGGCATTTCACAGTCTGCGACCCTGACGAACCGGTTGGGAGAAAAGCAAAAAATAGTCATCGATCGGAGAATCGCCAACCGCTAGTTTCGCCGAACCGCCGCGGTTCGGCGGTTGGGCGAAAAGCAATAAATGCGTATCGATTTCGCTGGCGAAAAACGCCAGGGCGATCGAGCTAGCGTTTCGTCGAAGGCGAAAAACGTCGCGGTTTGGCGAAACGCCCGTCGATTCGTATCAAACCCTTTCGCCGAACCGCTGCGTTCCAGAGGAACTGGTTCGCACACTGTGAACAATGCCTAACGCGTGTATAGTGTTGGTTATGCGTTATCAAACACTTCAGGGGCCGATTGTGATGGAAAATAGGGAAATGGGAAGTTGTAAAATCATGGGCTTGTTCCTGCAGGATCGATTAACTATGGTTACGATAAGCATTGCGTTGACCCAATATATTCGTTTGTTATTGACGACACCTAAATTGCTCTGTCACAAATAGCCGAAAGTCATCGTTGATTATGCCTTCAAGATATTTGGCGCGGAAAGGCGTTCCTGGGTGATTGCTATAGCTTTCTTTCAAGTTGGCACCTTGAGACGGATAGAAATGGCAAGAAGCACATGGTGTGATGTTGCCTCAATATCTTTCAGTGTATGGGAAATGATGGGAATGCATGATTTATTGTCCAGAGCATGTTACGGAATAGAGCAATAATTCACTACACGTTTGTGGTTTCTTCCAAGATTGTAGTGGAGTAAGGTTACGGACAAAGCTACCTCGAATACCATCTCGAATGATACCATATAGTGAAGTGATGATTACATATTTCCATTCACTTCACAGTGTCCAGCGCACTGTTGCAGCCTTCGGTTTGAAGGACGAATTTGGCTCTCTTATTAGCGAACTGGGCAAGCATGGAAGCCTTTGAAGAGCTATTGTACTGCTGACGGAAGTGTTGTCGACATTATTTTGGATGAGCAGAACTTTCGCGCTTTTGCTCGATCTCCATACAATTTCAACTCCATCCCTTCGAAGGGATCAACTTCCTGCCACCATCGGCACCCTCATTTATGTACGACATTACTTACCCTCAACTCTATCCTTGGAAGAAGCCTTCTTCTCCACATATTCTTTAATACCTTTCAATGCTCTGGTGGAGTTGTCTCTGTCTGTGCTGCAGGGTTCAGCAGTAAGGCTGTACAAAAGGTTGTGAAATAATATAACCCTCTGCTTAACCGATCTCAGAGATCTGCATAGCACTGCCGCAACTCTTTCCATGTAGCTACACTCCCATAGGTGGCTGGATTGGGTGATAGTGGTAATCGTTAGGCTACATTATACTGTGCCAATGTGGAAAATCAGTAGATCAGGAGACCATCTATCCTGTGCACTTGATATAGGGTACAGGGTGTTCCAAAAGTTGCGCAATTCGGATAGAACTTTTCGGTTCTTTATTTTTATGTGGAAAGCAAACACGTTAGGGTTATATGTGGAATATCACATCGGTCAAATAACGTCTACGGCTTTCTTGCCACGCCGAACCGATTTTCGTGGGTCGACATTGTCACGCCTTGCTTCGAAGTTATGTGAGCAGTTCTTGAGCGACCAATCTTCAGTGTCTCCATTTGATCCATTACGTGCAAGAAGAAGCCGGTTGAATAGTAGTATCGAAACAGTACGTGTGAGTGTTGATGAGACCAGGAACGTTGATTCCGCGTCGTGAATGACGTAGATGTGCCAGAGCCGCAGGGTTCGTTTGCCCAATGTCTATCCCATACATAACCCTATCCTTTGTGCCTTATCTCTCAACGAAATCATCTCTACTTGATCCGAACTTTTTGCTGGTTCCTGAATTTCGGAGCGCATAGGTGGTAAGAAGATGGTTCGGATATTGGGAAATCCCCTATAAGTATTGTTCTGGAGAATGTTTTGTTCTTTAAATTGAGAACAATGAACGCATTCTTAGGTGGCATAGGCATTATCTTCTCGAGAGGGTTCACGTTAATCTTCTCAGGAGGTCTCGGTTCAAACATTCTCTCTTGAATATCACCTCCCACCTGATGGTATCAAGCCTTTTGCATTCGGCGCTATCCGGTACGTGACAAATTCGTCAAATGGGTCATGTCACAGTTGTAACTCGTATAGTGATCAAACAAAATGTTGTTAGCTGTTGACCGTTTGTAGAGACGGTGATAATTCTGTTGTTTCCAGTTTTCTATTCGATGGACGCCGTATTAACGACGATGACACTCCCAAAACTTTGGAAATGGAAGAGGATGACGTAATCGAGGTGCGTGATCACATTTTATAGTTTGTGGTGTTGTTATATTCATGGGTTTGGCAGATGAACTGTTATAGTTGAACAGTCACTCGTTTCATGGTAGAATTAAAATAATCATAAGAATTGCAGGTCTATCAGGAGCAACTCGGTGGCTCATGTTGAACTCATTCCTATGCTTATATCACCGGTACTTCGTTTGCATCTCGATGTTTTCTTTGATTGTCCATTCTATTCTTCCTCATGAAAATGTTAACGGACTGTACAGAACGGCCTAACTCCATCTATTTTGGTTCACTTTGTACCGCGATATTTTGTTCGTAGAGAATCATACGTCGGTATTTATGAATAAACAAGTGGCGAGTGTTGTGACCTTCGGTGCCCACTTTTATGTGGTTTTTAATTCATCAGGGTTCATATTAGTTATTATTACATGTTTGTTGTGCTTTAAAATTAATTTGGACACAGTAGCACAATAGCGGAATAAGACTTTCATGGATTTTAATGGATTACTTCAACAGTACTGATTGGCCTGGCCGAGCAAGTTTCGAAAACATTGACAAAACTCATCTAGGACTGCACCGAAACTATTACAAGCCAAATTTAGTAGAACGCTTACATAGATCCATCCACAAGCGATCTCAGCACTACACAGGATTCGTCGTGGGTTGCAGAGGTCGAGGAATTTAGGGTTCATGACTTTTGAGTGGTCCCTGTTTCGTCCAGAAAACAGGAGCAAAGGTTCACACGAGTTTGTGAACGATAGGATTTACTCTTTTCTAAAAACCGCAAACTTTGTTGTGCGCCCGCTATAGCGAAAATTCTCCATTCACGGATTTTGGTCCGGGAATGTGCTTCAGCTTCGACAAGAGTGTACTTTCATTACCA